AGGAATAGCTTTCTTCCTTAGGTGGTGCTGGCAGGGATCTATCTAAAGACCTGAACGTGCCTCCTGCACTAGAGATGGACTCACCATATCAGGTAGATGTTTTCCCAGCTATCATCTGTCTAAGGAACATCACGAGCTATCACGTAACATGTTATCAGAGCATGCCACCCTCTTCATTTCTCTATCTCCATTTTACAGAGGGAAAATTGAGACTCAGAAAGATTAAGTGACTTACTAAAGGTCACACACAGGCATAACGAAGCAGAGACTTGCACCCTGGTCTCCTGTTGCAGAGACAGTGTTTACAAGCACTGTCCATTTCATCTCAAACAGTTCCTGCTAGCAAACGTGATTCCAGTCAAACTCCAGAGTTTGTCAAACAGGCAAGCTTAAATGCTGATCCTTCTGTTCTCTTGCACTTCCAAAAAGTGTAATAATTGCTCTTTTTTGATGAGACAAATCCATATGAGCTTGCTAATAAATTGGTGCATGAAAAAAAAAAAAAAAAGGACACACATGCATCTTTTTGGTGGTTTCTCTCTAGGGGGGTGTGTTTGCAGAGGGAAATCTAGCATCACACTTTTACCAAGGTACAAGTCACCTCTCTGAGACTAGTCCTTGATTTTATATACACAGATCAGTTTGCAGGGCCACTGCTAGTATTAATTGCTTCAGGTCATGACAGGTAGGAATGCATAACCATGCACTCTGGATTTTCCCCTCCTTCCTTCAGGCTGAGATTAGCCAAGCCAAAGTCTTTCTAAGGCCTGGAAATCAACACTCTGGAAAAAATTACTTGCTGTGTCCCGTAAGTAATTGCAGTTGTTTATGTAGAGCTTTCTGAGCATGAGGAGCACACTAGAAATACTGAAGGGGAAAAAATACTTTCAAAGTTCACATTTAAAGTAGGGTTATGTTATTCTATGTTTAAATGTTAGTGAAATAGGCATTAAAAGCCTAAAATATGTGTGCTCATATTTTAAAGGAAGGGTAGTGTAAAGGGAAAAATTCTGGAAAAAAAAGGTTGGAAAACAGGCTCAAAAGAAGGTTTTTGTTTGCTTGTTTTGGTTTTGTTTTCTTTTTTTTTTAAAAAAAACAAATAGACAAAAAAAAAAAAAAAGAGGGGAATGAAAAAGAAAACAGAACTTCTCACAATCTGTGAAACTTTCATAATTCAACCAATGGTGATGGCCAATATTAAGGGACAAGTCTGGTTATTTGGGCACTGTGAAGAAAAGGGGACTCTGGTTGCTGTCCAAGCAAACATGAATACTTAAGCTGAGAGAATAACTAAGCCTATTTAAATGAGGGAAGATACGTATGTAGGGGATGGAAGAGATTCCGTTTATAAAGAAGCATCCCAAACCCCTTTCTAAGGGCAGGCTTTTTCCTGGATGAGCTTAGCTCTAAAGAGGCTCATCTGCTCCCTCCTCTCCTGCAAACCATAGCGAATGGTTTGAAGCCTTGGAGCTGCAGCCCAGCCATGACGACAGCAGAGCTCTAACCGAGGAATTCCCACGGCTGCGTGTCCGCTTCGCACTGCTGCTACCCAGACAAGAGTTGTCTGAAAAACCACTGCCAGAGCCCCGTGACCCAGCTGGGAATGAATGGGAATCTGTCCTCAGCGTTTCAGCTAAAACACTGAGAAATTGTGTGTTGCAGCATGTCTGAAACTGATCATTATGGGGGCACTTAGTCTGAGCTTCGTAGCAAACCATTGTTGTGAGGAAGGATTACATGTTGCATAGCAATGCTCTGCTGTGAGCCCTTTTCCCTATGGCACTTGTAAAGCTGTTTGGGCAGGCAGTCCTGCACTGCTATCTAATTTCCTCTTAGCAGCAAGCACCAATAAAGACAGTTTGGTCTTTATGATAATTGTTTTTCTCTTTCCACCTTTCTTAGTATTTAGTATTCTTACAACAAGTTCAATGGGAGTTCATGTCCCTAAGTCAAACCAACTAATTTGGTCTAAGAGTTTATTTTCCTCCCAAACTGTTCTCCTATTTATGAGACTACCAGACCAGTGGTTGTTCAGAGGAGGGTGGGAGGACACAACACTTTGAACATTTTATTCAACTGTACTTTCATGGTGAATGCTCTCTGCAGCATATAACACAATAAGGATTCAAATGCATGCTTGTGTTGTTACTCCTGAGTTATTACAACTCTGCTACTCTATGGTATCTGTGGTGTTTAGGCCACAGGGAGATGTTTTGTGCTTTGGATTTAAGCTAATGCATTTTGCTTCCTATCTGTGACAAGATAGAAACAGGCAAGTGACAGCTCACCTTGGTGCAGATGAAGTACGATTGTTCAGTAAGTGGTGATTCCGTGTGTGTTCAAAAGAGGTTCAAGCCTACGTAGGATGGAGGCAGATCAGTCTCTGAGCTGTGATGTGCCTTGGATAGAAAACCAGAGGTATCTCTGGTAGCTATGGCTCTTGAAATGACAAAGTTCTGTTAGTCTTAATCTGCCCTTGTGTACCCTAGACTTTTTAGATAATAAAAGCTAAGTTACTCTATCCTGGAGGTACTTTTATTCCCTATCCTGGAAGCATGATCTAGCCTTTTACCCATTTGTCCCATGGCCCAGTCAGGAAAGGTTTCTTCAGTACTGCTCCAAGCAACCTGCTGACTTGGTTACGTCTTACTTTGCCTCCTGGAGCAATGAGATGGATTTAAGTGTCTCTGACAGGAGCCTGCAACAAGAGGAGGAAGGTTTTTGTGGAAGCTGAGGAATGAGACAGGAAACAGAAGGGCTTTGCCAAGATTCATTTTGGCTCATGGGTGGTTAGGAGCCCATAGGCAGGAGTTCTCCATCACACGTTGCCTTGAGTAGCTGCATCATGAGTGACAGAAGCAGGGGAGGCTGGCTGGAGAAGAAATGTTTGTAGCATTTTCACTGGAGCTGCCTCAAAATATTCTTGAGCCCTTCCTGGTCTTTCAAGGAGAAGGTTTATGGGGTGGTTGGGATGCACCACACTTGCACACTGGCCATATGAAAATCCACATGCTGGATTTCATGAACTTGTGCATTCATGAGAACTAGGACAATGGAAACTTTTTATGCTTTGGTCCACCAATGCACAACATCTAAGCTGTCCTAGGCACTGCTTAACAAGGAGCTAGAAGCAGGTCAGGGGAAAAAAAAAAAAAAAAAAAAGTGATGGAAAAAGCCCATAATGAATCACAGCCTGTTAATTCCAGACAAGGACAGGAGGATTCATCTGCTTAAATATGCACATTAGTATCCTTAGAGAGAACTCTATGTTCCTGGAGGGGCAGCTGATGATGAAGTTCAATGTTTTACAGTACCTCAAATAATGTTAGATATTGATATTGAGATATCTGAATTCTGCTAACCCGATTTGGGTTAAGATACCTAAACCAAGATAACTCCATTTGAGATAACCTGTTAGTGTATGGAGATGTAGTCAGCACAGCTGGTGGAGATACTCCATAGACCATGTGCAGGTGTCTGCTTCCCTGACGGATCCCCTGTCTGCTTTGGTTCCACTAAATCAGGTGGAAGTTTAGAGGTTTTTCTCAAATGTAGGCATTTAAACTCAAATGTCTGCTTCAGACCTGGCTGGGTGGTGTGATTCAGGTGATTCAGGTTCCTAAACATACATACCTACTCCTGACTGAAGGTTTGCTGCCATCTGCTAACCACCAATCCATCAGGATCTGGATTTCTGACCTGTTGTGCCATATCTATCAGACCCATGTGGATGCCTTGGATTTACTGCACCTGCAATGTCAGCTGCTGTCCCACTGCACTATGGAGAGAGGGCTCCAGATGAGACCTGTCCTGTGTTCGTGTTCCCTTCTTGCATTTTGTGACCATGCCTTATGTAACCAGCTCTAGATCCAGCCAAACCTGTGCACAGGAGCTTGTCTACCAGCCAAACAAATTCCTGATGCTTTCTTGCTTTCCCGTACAATGGTGGTTGTCTCCTTTTCCAGGTGGAGCAGATGCAAACGAGTTGGGGGAGGTGGGAGGGTTTTAGAAAAGCCTGAACGCTGAATGACTGTAGTGTGTAGCCCTTCTGCAAGTATCTCAGCAATTTTGCCCATTTTGCTGATGGTCTGGGCGTGAAATCAGGTAAAGGAGCTTTGTTTCACATGAACCCGGCTCTGACTTCTGGATGACCAGTGAAATGTGACTTTACATGAGGGACAGCATGGGTGAGGGTTGGATTTTTTTTTTCCCCCCTTGGTGTTGAAATGTGTTCTGTACGCTCTTGTCTAACATTGTGGGATTTCTTGCAGAGTTGGCCAGACACTTTGGCACGCAAAGCGTGACAGCCCCTAACCGAGCCGGCCCAGCTGAGTCCTATAAGCAGCAACACATCTCTCCCTGCAACCTGTCACTTGTTTGAATGCTACTGTGTATTATTGGATTGCATTTGAAAAGGTCTTGGCTGTCACAGGAATGAAGTGTGACCACTGGCCAGGCTCTGCTGAAGGCTGTATTATGCAGTGTCTAAAAATGTCTCTGTAATATCAGGATTAGGCCAGACCCCAGTTCTGAGCCCGTGACCTATTGCACATTTGCACACGGTGCTCAGCAGGACTTCTGCAGCCAAATAATTAAGAACTGGATGGTCAGGAAGTGGACTGGAGCCAGGTCTCTGCTGTCATGAGGCCATAATGTTGGCAGATGCCATAATGGGCAGAAGGAGGAGATTTTATTTTTCTCACTTTTTCAGATACCACAGATGCTCAAAGGAAGGGCACTTTCAGTAGTACCTTGACAGGAGGCAGATCTGTAAAACAAACTCTGTTCTAACTTGCTTTGTTTTCAGGGCTGGTTATACTTTAACCTATTTAAAGTTAAAATGTAGACTATTTTTGGAAAAAAGCAAAAAAGGTAGTTTTTTGTGTTGCCATCACCTTTGTGTTCCAGGAGTGTCTTCTAGCAAATGTGGGTTTTTTTTGTCTCCATGCCTTGATTTCTTTCCCCATAACTGATTTTCTTTTGGGGCTGTGTGTCTGCAGGTGATCAAAGCTGGAGTGGAGACAACCTGTAAGTGCCACGGTGTATCTGGATCCTGTACTGTCCGAACTTGCTGGAGGCAGCTCTCTCCATTCCATGAAATAGGGAAGCAGCTGAAGCAAAAGTATGAGACGTCGCTCAAAGTGGGCAGCACTACCAACGAGGCCACAGGGGAAGGAGACATCTCCCCACCCAAGAAGTCCATCCCTGGTCACAGCGATCAAATCCCAAGGACTACGGATCTTGTCTACATTGACGATTCCCCAAGCTTCTGTATGATGAGTAGATACTCGCCTGGGACTTCAGGAAGGAAATGTTACAAAGACAAGAACTGTGACAGCATCTGCTGCGGGCGAGGGCACAACACGCAGAGCCGGGTGGTCACCCGCCCCTGCCAGTGCCAGGTCCGTTGGTGCTGCTATGTGGAATGCAAGCAATGCACCCAGAGAGAAGAGGTTTACACCTGCAAAGACTGACACATCTCCTGCTTGATGGCAACCCTCGGTGATGGGCGACGGTGATCTATGAGAACTACATATGGAGACAAACAGGGTTTGATTGACCTTCTGGGATCTGAAAGCTATGTCGAGACATAAGCACTTTGTAGGGTACAGGTGACCCAGCTGTGTTGCTGTTTTGTTTTTTGTTTTTTGTTTTGTTTTCCTGTAGACTGAATTTTAATGAGGTCCAACCATGTGGAAATAAGTGCCTGTCACACTGGGGTTAGACACCAGTTGACCTTCACCTTAGTCATCCATGCAGTTTAACGGATCGTTCATCCTTGGAACATCTTGATTTTTTTTCACCAGTCCTCCATGAACTCCTGGGCTAATATATTCTCTTTGGCATAAATAACATACACTATTTTATTCCTGAAGCTTACCCAACTGCTTAAACAGCTAAGCAGATATGGAAGAAAGATCTTTCTGCTTTGAATGTGATGGTACGGGAAGTGGTCATTTTTTCCCCCATCTCTAACTGGTGAGGGGTGTGTGGGGAAAGCAGAAAAAGCCTTGATGGAAACAAGGCTCTGACAAAGAGACCCACTGGGAGGGTAAGCTTTTTAACAACTACTCCAGATCCCCATACTTTGATCACCAAATACAGCTCCAAAAATGTTGGGTCCACCATATTGCAGACAGAAATATATCCAAGAAAGAGGTTGGGAAGACAGTAGGAAACCAGATGTGCCTGTTCCCTTCAGTCCAATCACGTGCTCATTTTTTTAAAGAAAAACATTTATTCAAATGCCATTTCTTTAGCACTATGGCTGTCTTAATTATTTTAAAATATTTTTTTAAAAACCACTAGATGCTTTTGTTTTATTTTCACTTCATGCATGATTTATTTTTCTCTCCTCTTCCCACCTCTTGTTGATCTAATTCACCCTGTGGTAACCGCTTGAGAAATCTGAACTGGAACTTTTTCGTCTTATGCCAACTGAATTCAGACATGTCTTTCTGAGCAGAACAAGTGAAATTTGAGTGCATCTTGGAATGCAGTGCTGTCTTGCAGTGTACAGCAGCAGTTTGGGACTGAATCAGGCCTCTGGAGGAGTTGACTTTTCTTTTACTAGGTCATCATTCCATTTACTCTCAACTATGGCAGTGGTACATGACACAAGCTGTATGTAAACCTTATGACCTTAAGATTCTTTTTTAACCACTAGATCAAGAACTGTATTTTAAAAATATAACTGCTCAATGGTAACCAACTATTGGATTCAGAACAAGTAATTGATATGAGAGGCAAATTATCAAGTGGCCAGAGAAGCCAAAAAATGACTGCAGTGGTAGATCTGTGAAATAAATGACAACCTTCAGCATTTCTTTTTTTTCCTTTGAAGAGAATACTTACAATCCAGAACTTGATGTGGCAACATCCTTCAGTCATATAAAACTGGATTGGAAGCAGCCAGTGAAGTCCTCTACAAAGCTTTCCAAGGAAACACTGGAGAGCAGAGGGCATTCTATTTTTGGTAGCATTTTTTGATTGTCCAGTAGCAGCAATTTCCACCAATTTTATATAAGTCATTGATCTGTTTCTCAAAAGAGAAAAGCTGCCTGGAGTTTTTCAAGCAGTAGTAGATATTAGCCAAGCAAAAAGAGAGCAGTTTTCCAAGATGGACCATTATTTTTCAAGATTATTATTATTTTTTTCTTTTTTTCTTTCCCCAAATAGTAGCCACTAATATTTAAGCTGTTCATGTGCATCTACTGGGAAGAGAAAAGATTATTAATTTTTTTCTTGGTGACAAATACCTGCAGTCCAGCCTGGGTCGTTGGCATCAAATCTTGGGGTAAGGGCAGGGGGAGGGATAGGATGTTACTGTTGATAGCTCTATGGTCCTGAAAAGTGAAGTGTATTATCACTTATTTGGATGTTTGCTTATTTGCTGTACAGTCTGGGAGGTTGAAGTAGTACTGGAAAAGGAGGAATCTGCACAAGGTGTTTGTCCCTTCCACCATGGCAGATGGTGGTGGTGCATTCAATGCAGGAGGCTTGCAGGAAGGTCTCATGGTTTCTGGGAGATGCACTGCTTTGAAAGCCACCCATGAGCAGTTTATCTAATGGTTTAAAAAATAAACTGACTAGAAACATATTATTCAGTGTGTGCATGTGTGTGTATATACACACATGCTGACACTTAAATATATATATATAAATATTGAACAAACATTTATTTATTGTAAAGCCCTTCAGAAGGACCTTCTTATGGTTTCAATGTGGTATTATGTTAAATTCTCTTTCTCCCTCTCTCTCTCATATGTGCAAATTCACTGTTACATTTTTGTGTGTGTGCTAGAATAGCTTTTCCCCTCCAATAAGGCCAGATCCAAACCTGCTCATAACATGAGGATTTTTGGGTCTGAATTACTATTTCTGGCTCCATTCTTTTTTTTCTTATTTTTTTTTTATTTTTAAATATTTTTTTTCTAACAGAATGGGCTGCAATTTATGTGCATTATTATTATTATTAATTATTATTATTGTTCTATTTAAACCATGGGCCTAATTTTTCTTCTTGTCACTGGTGTCTCTGTTTCCATTGACCTCGCTGGAGTAACTCCACATTGCACTGGTGTGAGAGGAGAATGAGTCCCTAGATGCAGAAGAGAGGGGAGGTGTTGGCATCAATATCCTTGCAGAACAAATGCCTGGGTCCTATGGGTTAGAGTAGCTTGGTGTGTTTGGCACTGGGGGGAGAGAGAGAGAGATGGGTGGGCAATATTAAAGAGTGTCAAAGCTTGACTAGAAGTAAGAGGCAAAGAATGAATGAACTACTGAGTGAAAGAGCTCTTCTGTGTATTATAACTCACGCACTGAAGCCTGGATGCTTTCTGTAAGTATTTAAAAAAAAAAAAGAAAAACACACAAAAAAACCCCCACCACAAAAAAGCAAATTGTATTTATGTTAATGTGGATATATTACTTGCCTGTTATATATTGTAAATAGCAAGGTTTATTCTCCTGTGGTTACAAAAAAAAATATAAATAACTAAATAGTAGCGAGGCACATGTGTTAAATGTATAGGCAGTGTATAAAATATACTAACATTCTGAAATCAGGAGAACTTGTCTTCTTGGCCTTTTGACCTACGGTGGTAAAACATATGTGGGTTATTTTTCTTCTTCCCCCCACCATGTTGTGTGTGTTTTGGGTGTGGGGGTGTATTTAGTTCCAGCATTTTCCAACGTTTTCCTTATCTTTGAAGAAAAAATGGGGAGGAAAGCCTTGTTTTGGAAAAATCCAGTGGAGCTTGAGTAGGATGAAATGAGTAGTACCTGGCAGAAATGTTGTCAAACCCTCTCAAAACCCTCTTAAGTGTTTGACCTGGGTTTTCTGCTGGTAATACATGTGTGTTGAAACTGTATTTTACCCATGGAGCAGGAATATTGTGCTACTCCATACATGAGTTCAGAAAACACTAGATGAGAGACCCCAAATTACTCTATAAAACATTGGGTAGTGTCCTGAAAAAAATGGTTTTGTATCATCTGTATGAAAATGGATTTTTCCAGAGAGGCTGATTCTACCACCACACCACTGGATCTCCAGTGCAATTCAACCAAATTGCTCATTTTTGTAAAACTACTACAAGAATGGACTTGGGTCCCTGAACCTCTTACAGTGTCATTTCATATGGGGAAAAAAAAAAAAAAAAAGTGCAAAGCAACTTTTCCCTTTTTTCTTACCCCCAGAGAAACAGGTTTTTTGCAGCAGATGTAACTGGAGAAGGATGGGTGGGTGTAAGGGAGGTCTCTGGTTTCTGATCCCCTTTCACCCCCCGTCTCCCCAAAAGTGTCAAAGTGTTGGTTCTCCTAAGCTGATCCAGCAAGTCTTGTGAGATCAGTTTTGGGGTGGGGTGGGAGGGGGTGCAACCATTATTTATATAACTTTTTTTATTAATTTTTTTAAAAGAGAAGTTAGCTGATGGAAGAATATTTTTATTGAATAGTGCATTTAGCTATGTCAGAAATATAAAAAAAAATATATATAATATTTTTGTAAACAAGGCAAACTGAAAACGTTTGCTGTTTTATATTAGAATTTTCTATTAAAAGAAATAAAACCCCACACAAATAATTGTTGCACCCGTCATCTGTTTTTTTTTAACAAGCTTCTGTTCTGTGTGACTGACTCATATATGCCGGATGTGGGGACGTGCAAAACAAGTCCTAAACGTTACGTTCTCATTGTCTTCCAGCTCTCAAAAGACTCCAGCTAGTGAGACAAGCAGTGTTTAATTAAAGGGGGGTATTAAAAATTATTCTTCTAGACAGTAAATATGAATTCTGAAGGATGAATAGCTTGGAATTCAAATACAAAATTCTGCCCCAAAAATTTAAGCTTACCCATTTTTTTAGTCATGCATCCTGGTCTTGAGATGGCTCTGGGTGAAGGGAAGCCAAAACCCATTTACAATAATGAGGTATTTTTGTCAGTTGGCCTGGGAAGAATGACTCTTAAAAAAGTTGTTGGAGAAACCAAAATGCATCTGAGTATCTGGGAAAGTTAAATGAAGAGGACCAAATCCCAGGCTTGAGCTACCACGGGCAGTTTGTGTCTGGTTAGATGGGGCAGTGTAAAACTGGGAGCTGGGGACTTGGTCTGCTGAGGTTCAGGAAGCCTGTTGTTCACCTTTGGAAGGAAGGGATGAGTGACAGACCATCTGTTTTCAAAAGAGTGTTTGGGATTGCTGGTTTAGAGACCTAAGCAGGGGGCTAAATATTTTCTGAGCATTTTTTTGTGGTCGGCCAGCTCGTCCACATCTGCCTCCCCCCAGTCTAGGTCTTAGATTTCTTTGCTAATCGTTTTTCAGCTGCCCTGTTTTAGCCAACGTTTATTAGGTTGGTTTGGCTGCAGCAGGATTGGGTGAGAACCCAGATGAAGGGGCAAATTTCTCAAGGGTACTTTTGCAGAGTAGATACTGCTTAGGGTAATTTTCTGGTGGATTATGGTGCCTGTGAAAAATTCCTCTGTTGATGTTGCAGTAAAATTCGTTCTGTTCTGTACTTGATAAAACAGGTGCAGCAAAGCTCTTCCTTCCTTGGTTTATTTGGCTCTATGTGTACATCTGTTGGGTTGAGTCTGGTTTCCATGGTTAGCTCGTCCTGGCTCTCACTCTTCAGGATGCTAACTAGGTGATGAATTTTGGAGAGCAACACTTCCCTGCAAGAGAAATAGTGGCTTTTTTTGGGCATTGCTGCTCGTGGAATTTGAAGGAGGCTCAGGAAGGCACAGGATCAGGCCTTGTGGAGATCTGGTAATTGCCAAGTCTGTCAAGATTAGGGTCATGAGTATTACTATTGGATAGCTTTTAGATCTATTTTTAACTGTTGAACATTGAACTTGACCAAGCTATTTACATATTGCAAGAAAGAGAATATTT